ATAAATTAATTAATGTCAATTAATGGCTTAACTAGCATCAATTAATATTAAAATTATTAATTAGTATCAATTAATATAAAATTTATTTCATTAATGTCTAAAATGCTTAATTATTATTTTGTTTAATTAAAAAAACACTGAAAACCCTAGCTCCGGCAGGCACAGCGACGACGTGGTGGCGCTAAGCACAACAGCGACATGACAACGGCATTAGTTCAGATCGCGATGGCAACGAGAGAGAGAAAGACAGAGAGAGAACAAAGCAACGAACCAACGATGGAGAGAGAGAGTTGGTCGTTGATAGTCACCGTCAAAGGCACAGCGGCGATGGGGGATGGGGGACGACAACGAACGGTTGATCATCACCGTCAATCATCATTAGGAATAGCAACGGGCCGGGCCGAGGCCAGGGATCACACTCCCCGTCCCCGATCCCCGATGGTGGAAATCCCCCCGTTCCCGGCCCTGATCCCCGACAGGGAACCTATCACAGCCCCCGCTCCCGCCTTCTAATGGGGATCGGGTTTCTCCGACCCCAAAAATTCCCCGCAAAAAAAAATATAAAAATCAGCTCTAGATTTGATATAGATAACTTCTCTTGATAGATTGGAACTCCAAATATTAGCACATACAAAGGAACTTCTCAATGATATAAGAGGGGTTTGGTTGTCCATAAATAGTTTTTATTACAGCTGATTTAAAAAATAACAAGGTTTACATTTCATAACCAAGTTGGTTGAAAGCTTGTCTGTTTGTTGATAACATTTTTTGATGCAACAAAGCTATTATTATCAAACAAGTGAAGTTTCTGCCCAAAAACAGAAACAAGTGAAGTTGTGTGCATACTAATTTCTCACCCTAATTCAACAGGCACAAATCTTCACATTGTAAAGCACCAAAAACAGATCTGCGATTTAACAACAACGACAACAGATTTAACAACACCACAACACATTTAAAAAATAAAGAGAGAGAGAGAGTAGAAATGGCGAGAAAGAGAAAGAGAGAGATAGATCTATGATCTCCGACCACCGCAACTAGATCTTCAGATCTAAGATCGACTCTCGTCGTTGAATGGCGGAGGCGGTGGTAGAATGGTAGAGGCGGTGGTGGAGCAGCGGGTGAGAGAGTGAGGGGAGAGGAGATGCGATCAACTATCGTCGTGGCAAAGGAAACCAACGTCGAATGAGGAGGATGAGGTGGCGCTCGTCGTCGTCGGAGGGGGTGGAACTCGTCGGAGGAGGAGGATGAGAAATAGGTGAAGGCGCCGATTCGGTGAGAGACGGTGAGGAAAAGAGAAAGATGTGAGAAAGAGAAAGAGAGAGAGAGAAAGAGAGCAGAGGGAAGATATGAAATGAAAAAAAAAAGATGAAATGAAAGAGAGAGGGGGAGAGGGAGAGAGAGAGAGAGATAGAGAGAGAGAAACAGTTTATCAAAGTCAAAAAAGTATATTATATATATATATATATCATTTCGGGGACAAACGGGATGGGACTGGGGCCAGGGTTTGGGCACTTATCACCGTTCCTAACCCGAAATTGATCGGGGATTAATTTTTGAATACCATCCCAGTCCAGTCGGGAGTATTTTTCGGGGAAAACCCGTTCAAATCGAGGTCGGGGGATCAGGCCCCCATCAAGTCGGTTTTAAATTGCCATCCTTAATCGTCATGCAATCGATCATGACTCTAGGGTTTCAGATCGCGATGGTTAGGGCTTTGGCCCTCAATTGAGATTGTAGACACGGAAGCTCAATCGCGAAACTAGGATTTACAACGCAATGGTGGTGGTGAAGAGAGAGCGAAGAGAGATAAGAGAGCTCTAGTTCGTAAGTGTGAGAGAGGGGGAGAGCTATGGTTCGTGAGTGTGAGAGTGAGTGAGAGAGAGAGAATGAGAGGGAGAGTGGTGTTGAGAGCCAGAAATTGCCTCTCTCTCTCTCTCTCTGAAAATGAACAGTGATCTTTGTGGTTTATATAATGGCAATTTGGTAATACTTCAAATTAGTAAAGGGCATTTAAGTAATTTTGCTCCTCAATTTTTAGCTTTTCGCTTAAGTTGAATCCGAAAGCACCCCTCCTGCCACTCAACAAAAATCACTTTTTTGGCTTAATTTAAACTACAAAAAGTGATTTTAAACTCTACCAAACACACCAAAACAACTCAAAATAATCTAAAAACTAAGTTAAGCCAAAATTAAGCTCTACCAAACAGGCACTACATACTAGTGAAATATTTCTAAAATAATTATTATTTCATAAAAAAAAATTATAACTTTCATTGTTAAATTTTTTCTCAATATTGTTATATACAATCATATAGGTACAAGATCTATATGTGAGTTACGATGGTAGTAGGTCATCGGAGTTAGGAGTTGGGATGAAGGTGATTGCTGGGTGATGGGGTTCAAGATTGCAATGATGATGATCACAGGGTTTGGTGGTGGTTGTGAAATAGTGAAGATAACAATAAGGCTAGGGATGTGGCGGTGAATGACAGAGCGAGTTAACGAGCAATGACTAGTGATGATGGGGGTTGGTGATGTGTAATGGTATATATTGGGAGATTAGATTTAAGATTGTCCAAAAAATAATTTACTTGAGGGCACAATAGTAATTAAAAAAATTAAGGTGTTTTTATTGGGTGCCTTTATTTACACATCATCTTCATCTCGAGGCACGCCATTAATTAGTTTTTTTTTTATTTATTTATTACAATTTTAACCTTAGATAAAATGACCACAAAGAACAAAGGATTATGATACACACCATTTGTATAATTACCATAAAGGACAATAATGAATATAATACACATCAAGAATCTCAAACGTTTCTCACGTATCTTGTCTCTCAAAGATCCAAAAATCCTAAAACAAAAACCCAAAACCCTTAAAAGAAACAACAAAAAATATACATATTATTGAAGATTTTGATTAGATTGAATGATGGAGGCATCTGGCAATACTGGTTTGGAACAATGAAGCAAGGAAAATGCTATTTTTTCATTCTTTTTTTTCATTGTCGTGTACTTACTGAGTGGTAAACCGTTTGTATTAGTTCGATTATCCATAGTCGAATAGTATATTCATGTTCAACTATCCACAACCGTACAAATTGTATTTGTTCGATTTATTAGTGCCGAACAAACTCCAATGTTTTGGTTTGTAAGCGTCGAACACACAAAATCTGTTTGGCTACCAATAGTCAAACATATCTGCTTTGTTCGACTCTATACTGCCGAACACGTATAACAATTTTATTTTATTTTTTCCTTTTTCCAGAACTGTGCATCCACGAAATGCAGCAATGTTGGATCTGAGTGCCTTGTTGACTACACAAGTCAATTTATTACTAATGAGGCAGCCTCATGTCAAAAATTAGTATATATACATATTTTTTTTTCCTGCAAGTTTAATGACTGTGGTTATTTTATATGTAGGTTTTCAAGAGCAAAGAAGAATTGCTCAGTTGGGTACGGGATGTTAGAAGGAAAAATGGTTTTGTGCTTGTCATCAAGGCATTGGACTATGGTGGTGGTCACAGGACACCAAGGATATATCTTGCCTGTGGGAGAAATGGTCAATACAGAGTTCATAAGAAATTAAAAGGAGATGATTCAAACAAAAAAATTGAGAAGATAACGGGTACAAAGAAATGCGGGTGTCCCTTTGAGTTAAGGGCTCATAAGTTGATGGTTGATCATGATTGGATTGTAGATGTATAAAGTGGAATGCATAACCATGCTCCTGCTAAATATTTTGAAGGACATTCATTTGCAAGGGAGATTATCTGAGGGGGAAACATCATTATTTGTGGATATGTCCAAAAACATGGTTAGACCAAAAGAAATTTTGGTTACCTTGAAACAAATGATGCTTTGAATGTAACCACTATGAAAACCATTTACAATGTACATCATAGGAATAATGTTATTGAGAAAGCTGGGAGATCACAGATGCACATATAAGACGAATCGATAGTTGATCATGGACTGCACATATAAGACGAATCGATATTGTCTTCCTCTTCTTGAGATAGTTGGTGTGACATCCACTAATATGTCATTCTCCGTAGCCTTTGCATATCTCCAATTTGAGCGGATTGATAACTACGTTTGGGTGTTAACTCCATTGCGTAGTCTCTTGGATGACATTGCTATTCCTGAGGTGATTGTCACGAATAGGGAGCTTGTTTTGATGAATGTTATTGACAGGATATTTTCTACATCGATATTTATTATGTCGATGGCATATTACTATTTACTAGCGAAATGTAAGAAAATGTTTGAGAGTAAGGAGAAATGGGACAAGTTTATCTCTTCATGGAATTTCTTAGTACTGTCCTCAACTGAGCTTGAATACAATGAACGCCTTGCTATGCTACTTGCGGATTTTGATATATATCCTGAGGCAGTGCAATACATGTCACAAAGTTGGTTAATTCCACATAAGGATAAGTTTGATGCTGTATAGACAGATAGTTATATGCACTTCGGGAATATTACAAAGAACGGGTAATATATGTTTGTCTACCTTACACTATTAGTCATTATCATTTTGATTATTTAAACTTAATTATGTTAATTGTTTCCATTGTACACAGGGTTGAAAGTGCACATACAAAACTTAAATGGCAACTTGGTTCTAACTAAGTCAATTTTGAGTGTTCTTGGACCAAGATCCATAGTTTGCTTGAGTTGCAGCATGTTGATATTAAGGCATTATTTGAGAAGAGTTTTATCATTGTATAACACCAGTTCAAACCATCCCATTTTAGAAAGCTCCGAGGCAATATCTCTATTACTACATTAGATCATGTCATAGCGGAGAGTAAGCGAGTGGACACTATAGGAAATAACACATTCGACGACTAATTTTGCCGACTAAACTAAATTTAGTTGCCAAAGGTATACACATTAGCTACTAAAAATTTGTTTGTCGCCAATGGTAGACACATTAGCTTCTAAAAAATATTTGGTCGCCAAAGGTACATGCATTAGCTACTAAAACTTTTTGGTCGGTAAAAGTCCACTATTTTGCTACTAAAAATACATTCAGTCGGTATTGTCTTTACTTTTGGCGACTAATTACGTGTTAGTCGTTAAAAATATCATTTTAAGCGACTAAAAATGATGTCGGTTGCTAATTGCACAGTCTTTAGATATTATAAATTTATTTTATTGGTATTTATTTCATTTTTGGCTACTAATTGTGTGTTAGTCGAGAAAATCAACTTTTGGGAGACTAAAAAATATTTTGGTTGCTAAAATGTCCAATCTGTAGATATTATAAAATTCATTTTAGGCTACTAAAGTGTTTTAGTCGTGTAAAATAAGGTTTTGAGCGACTATTTTTATTTTGGTTGCTAAATCTTCCATCTTTACCGACTATAATTTAGTAGCCAAACGTGACGAAAATTTGTGAAGGGAATATTAAATTTTTCATAAAAACATTAGTGACCAAAATGGAATTTTGGTCGGGAATAAATTGGGTGTCATTTTATTTTTATTGCAATACAAGTCCATTTCCCTCCTTCTCTCACTCCCGCCTTTGTCACTGCTCTGTCTCCATCGCCATCACCGCAAGGCTTGCTGGATCATCACTTTGTCTCCCTCCCAGGTCTGTCCTCTATTTCGTCTCTCTCTCTCTTTCTCTCTCTCTCTCTCTGTATCTCTCTCTCGATTTCTCTGTCTCCTTCTCACTGTCTCCCTCTCGATTTCCCTCTCTCTTTCTCTGTCTCTGTTTACACACACATACACACACATATATATATACACACAGAAATCATATAGGAAATGCTGAAAATTAGGGCATTGTTATTGAAATGTGATTGAAATTAAAAATTAGGGCAATGCTTGGGGTGAGATGTTATTGAAATTAAGCCAATGTTATTGAATTTGGGTGTACAAATTATAGAAATACTGAAATTAGGGCAATCATTTACCATATGTTGTACAAGAAAATCTAAAATAATTTAACAATAATGAAATTCATAATTAAACTTCTATTAGTCTGAGAACTGGTAAATAATAGGCTAAAAAAGTATGTGCATAACTGTATCTGTTCATCTCTGTCTCCATCGCCATCACCGCAAGGCTTACTGGATCATCACTTTGTCTCCCTTCCAGGTCTATCCTCTATTTCGTCTCTCTCTCTCTCTCCCTTTCGATTTCTGTCTCATTCTCACAGAGGCCTCTCGATTTCCTTCCTTCTGTCTCTCACTGTTTATACACACACACATACATGCATGCATATATATATATACACACACACACAAATCATATATACACAACCTTGATCCCATATATAATCGATTATACACTGGTACACTCAGGCCTCTGTGACTGCGTCTCACTTACCCCTCTACCCTCTTCTCGATAGCTTTGTCTCCATGGCCATCACCACAAGGGTTGCTGGATCATCGCTTTGTCTCCCTCCCAGGTATGTCCTCTATTTCGCATCTCTCTCTCCCTCTCTCTGTATCTCTCTCTCGATTTCTCTGTCTCCTTCTCACTGTCTCCCTCTCGATTTCCCTCTCTCTTTCTCTGTCTCTGTTTACACACACATACACACACATATATATATACACACAGAAATCATATAGGAAATGCTGAAAATTAGGGCATTGTTATTGAAATGTGATTGAAATTAAAAATTAGGGCAATGCTTGGGGTGAGATGTTATTGAAATTAAGCCAATGTTATTGAATTTGGGTGTACAAATTATAGAAATACTGAAATTAGGGCAATCATTTACCATATGTTGTACAAGAAAATCTAAAATAATTTAACAATAATGAAATTCATAATTAAACTTCTATTAGTCTGAGAACTGGTAAATAATAGGCTAAAAAAGTGTGTGCATAACTGTATCTGTTCATGTGTGACTGTATATATTAAAATATGTGTGTATATATAAATTAATCTGTCTATTAATCATGTTATGCTCTATCTAAGAGATAGTTGGGTACTAAAACCGTGAAACATATTTGTGTGTCGCAACAATGCAAAGCTTTCAACTTATGAGATTTTATATCGATTTATTATTTCAAACAATTGCATTTTTTATCTCGCTTGACTAACCCAGACCCTATATCTCAAATTACTTTAATGCTGGTCTTTAGTACATTAGTCCTTTCAGAATACTAGGAGAACAAAGTCTAATCCCAACAAGGTAAATTTTATCTTACATATTGATTACTGAATAAATGAAGAGCAAATAGTGTCATGTTACCTTTGCTAGTTTTCACATCTGAACGCTTAGTTCTGCTACATGGACATCTAGTTTTGCTATGGCAATGTCAGTTCCATTATGAACACCTACGTCAACAGTTTTGTCGCTTTCCTCCTTTTTGAGATTTCATGCCACACATCTTGTAATCATGCTGGGTGAGTGCTACCATCATTTTGTTAGATTATTAGTTTTGTTACAGTTAGAATGTATTAGAGGATTCCTCTCCGTTCTTATTCCATCTACATGGCTTGCTAATAGAGGATTGAATTGCTTGAATGATGAGAAGTGTAAACTTTTCCAATCAGCTAGGCATTTGATAGCTTTTTATCCATTTTCTTAATAGATTAATGATTTGCCACCTTTATATGTATGATTAAACTTATATTTTGGCAGTTTATGTTCTACCTTTTTGAAGTCAACAAAGTTTCTCCTCAGTGAGCCTTATGTTAGAATAAGATAAATAGCTTACTATTTCCCTGTCTTGTTCTTGATACATTTGTTCTCACAAAACTGTTCAAATTTCAATGAAATTGTTTTGACCGACGATTTCTCCTTTGCAGCCCACATTCTCTTATATCTATACCCTTTTCTTAATACAACAAGCAAATCAAGGCCATTTGAATACTTAAGGCTTACTTCCTTGGGTGTCATCGGTGCTATATATTTATGTGTGTGTTGTCATGACTATTCCTCTTCTTTTTTATATATTCGTGTGAAACATTAGATTTGGAGGTGGATATGTTTATTTAAAGTTGATTTATATACTAAATTTGAAAGAAAAATCAATTTAAAAGAACAATAATTAACTACTATTGACAATGTTAGTCATGGACAGCTGGTTATATTGAGAAGCTGTTTGCAGCCAATGTTGTAAATTTTGTTTTTACTGCCTCAAGCTCATAGGTACCCATGAGGAATTTTTTGTGAATAAAAAACATGTCATGCACACACACTGTTGAGAGCATGAAAGGAATTTGATTCTTTTGATATATCATTCTATTATTGACCACATGGTTTCACTAGTAGTAGTGCTCTACTAGTTATGTTGTCTAGTGGTCCAAAATTAGGGGTCTTTTCTTAAATTAATTTCCATAATTACGCAATTCATGGTACAAATCGTTTCATTTGGTCCTACCCTAAAAGAGATTTGTGTGACAAGCCAAACAGTGAATGAAAAAACAACATAATCTGTCTCAACTTGAAACGCGTGTTCTCATTTGTTCCTCAGTTAATCTTTACTTGAGTTGTACGTGACAAAAAATAGACAAGAGTTGGATGATGATAAATAATAGGTTGACAAATAAAGAGTATCAACAAGGGGTGAAGTTATTCCTTGATTTTGCTACGGCAAATTTAGGCGTACATGATGAAATTAGGTGTCCATGTGTCGATTGCATTAATGGCACAAAATATAGCAGACAAGTTGTGTGGATGCACTTGATCCGAAAGAGGAATGACATCTTCATATATAACTTGGGTGCACCACGGGCAA